GATTTACCTGGGGCCCCAGCCTTTCCACCCTGGGTTCCCAATCCTACAGCTGGCCACGTCCAAGAGTTAGACTTTGCCCTGCCTCAAGCACGCCCATGTACCCATTCATTCATTCATTCATTCACACTGTAGGTATTTCCAGAGCACCTACCAAGGGTCAAAGGAACCCTGGTGGGGCAGTGAACTCAGCATTGGACTGCTAATCACAAGGTCAGCAGTTCAAATCCCCCAGCTGCTCCACAGGAGAACTATGAGTCTGTCTGCTCCCATAAAGCTTTACAGCTTCAGAAGCTGTAAGGAGCAGTTCTACTCTGCCATTTAGGGTGATTATTAGTCAGAACGGACGTGGTGGCAGTAGGTTGGGTTTGGTATCAGTGTCAGGCACTGCTCCAGGCTCCGCAAAGTGAACAAAACAGATACGAATCTTTGACCTCATGGAGTCTACCTTCTGCTGGAGGAAACACACATTAAATAAATGAGGCAAACTCCGCATGTGAGCTGTTGAAAATGTCAAAGAGGAAAAAATTAGCAGGAAAGGGGGACAGAAAGAGAATGGAGTGCGTTAACTTAAAATAGGGTGGTTTGGAGCTTTCTTTTCAGTTGTCCCAGGACCCCAGGGGGGCCCAGCCACCCTTTTAATAAACTCTCGTACTCCCCTAAAAAAAGACCCATTCTGTCATCACGTATTTGCCCATGTGCTAATTATGAGCAGGCATACATGGGTGAATCAGACAGGCATGCCTGGGGAGGAGAGTCAGGCAGGTAAATACATTCATTTATCAGTTCTAGCCTTACACAATGTTATTATCATCTGATAGGATCATGCTCTGTGATTACTGATTCCTCAGACACTGTGTGCTCAAAGGGGCCAGGGAGTGTGTCTGCCTTAGTCATCTATCTGCAGGCTCCTACTGGGGGCCTGGTGCACTGTGGGTATTCAGGATATTTCCTGATCTCTAATCATTTTAATCACTGGTTTGTGCCAAGAAATTTGAAAGACAGCTGGCCAACTGATTAGAAGAGATTCATATTTGTGCGCAGTCCAAAGAGAGTTGACTCAATGGAATGCAGAAATCATCAAGCAATATTATCACATGCAAGTAAAATTTTGCTGAAGATAATTTAAAAACAGTTGTGACAGCATATAAACAGGGAACTGCCAGATATTCAAGCTGTATTCAGAAGATGATGTGGAACGAGGGTTATCACTCTTGACATCAAATGGATCTTGGCTGAAAGCAGAAAATACAAAAAAACAAACAACCTTACTTGTGCTTTAAGGACTATGCAGTAGCTTTGGACTGTTTGGATCGTGATAAACTACGTTTAACATTGCCAAGAATGAATATTTCAGAACACTTAATTGTGCACATGAAGCAGTTGGTCAAACAGAACGAGGGAATACGGAATGGTTTTAAATCAGGAAAGGTGAGCGCCACCGCTGTATGCTTTCACCATATTTATTCAATATGTAAGGTGAGAAAATAAGCTGGATTGTATGAAGAAGAGCATGGCATCAAGATAGGAGGAAGACATTACAACATGTGATATTCAGATGATACAACCTTTGCAGGAAGCAAAGAGGTCTTAAAATACTCACTGGTGAAGACCAAAGACCACGGCCTTCAGTATGGATTGCACCACAATGTAAAGAAAACACAAATCCTCACAACTGGACCAATAAATAACATCATGATAGATGTAGAAAAGATGGAAGTTGTCAAAGATTTCATTTTGCTTAGATCCACAATCAAACACTCATGGAAGCAGCAGTCAAGAAATCAAACGATTCAGGCAAATCCTGGTGTGGCACTGTGGGTTAATGCACCAGACTGCAAAGCCGTTTGAACTTCAAGGTCGGTGGTTCAAAGCTCACTAGCTGCTCCTCGGAAACCCTATACAGGGTCTCTATGGGTCAGAATCGACTTGATGGCACTTGACGACAACAAATGTACAATACTTCTTTAAAGTGTTTCAGAGCAAAGGTATCAGTTGGTGGACTAAAGTGTGCCTGATTCAAGCCATGACATTTTAAATAGCTTCATATTCATGTGAAAGTTGGACAATGAATAAGGAAGACCATCAAAGAATTGATGCATTTGACCTATGGTGATAGAGAAGAATATTAAAAGTACCACAGACTGAATATTAAAAGTACCACAAATCTGTGTTGGACAAAGTACAGCCAGATTACAAGTCAGAATGGCAAGCCTTCATTTCTCATACTTCAGACTTGCTATGAGGAGGGATCAGTCTCTGGAAAATGGACGTCAGGAGGAGTTTTAAACCCATTGCTGTGCGCTCAATTCTGACTCATAGTGACCCTGTCACACAGAGTAATATGGATTACATCGAAAAAAAAGGAAGACCCCCAACGAGATGAATAGACACAGTGGCGAAAGCAATAGGTTAAAATGTGACAAAGATTGTGAGGACGCCACAGGACTCAGCAGTGTTTCCTTCTGCAGTGCGTAGAGTCCCTATGAGTCAGAACCAACAATCACATTAAGAATGTGAATGAAATGCATAGTTCCTTCCCTGCCACAAGGTGGCAGCAAAGCCCGTGGTTCCTGGGAATCTCCACACAGGGACTCGAGGGTGGACAGCGGGTTCCAGGGAAGTTTGGCTCTGCGGGGAGGTGGGGGGAGGGGGTGTGATTAAGCAAACTCCCCCTTCTCCACCTGAGCACATAGTGAATATTAACGACAACAGCTATTATGTGTCGTTTCCAACTCATAGCGACCCTGTACAGGGTTTGTACAGGGTTTCCAAGGCTGCGAATCTTTATGGGAGCAGAAAGCCTCATCTTTCTCCCGCCGAACAGCTGGTAGTTTCGAACTGCTGACGTTGTGGTTTGCAGCCCGATTCATAACCACTACGCTACCAGAGGTCCTTACAGTGGTCAAGTACTAGCTGCTAAACTAAATAAAGGTTAGCAGTTTGAACCCACAAGCAGTCTGTAGGAGAAAGATGAGGCTGCTTTTGAAAAGATGATGTTGTGTGTTGTGGAGTTGGTTCTGTCCGACTCAGCAACCCTGTAAAGGGCTTCTGCGACTGTAAATCTTTACAGGAGCAGAAAGCCTCATCTTTCTCCCATGGAGCAGCTGGTAGATTCAAACTGCTGACTTTGTAGTTAACACCCAACTCATAACACACTATATGCTACCAGAGCTCCTTTCTGCAGAAAGGACAGTCTTGGAAACCCTTTGGGACACATTGAGTCATCAATGGGTTTAAGACTCCTCAGGAATGCACTTTAGAATGCAAATTGCTGGGCATCATCCTAAAGAACCTGGGAACCTGCCTTTTTAACTAACTCTCCAAATCTGGCAGCTCTAGGGGAGGGGTTTTCCTTTCAAGTCTTGGGGATCCCAAGACACCTGGGGGGTGGAGTCTATTAAAGAGTCTCAGGTCCTTGGAAATGGGGTGTGTATGGCTGCTCCACACTTCCTATCACTGTCCCCGAACACACATGCACA